CACTGAAAAATATAGAAAGTGATGGGATAATAATTGAGGAAAAGCAGGCTAATTTTTGGTGTCAGTCTTCTGCATTTAGACTCTCGCTCTTTGTGAAAGCCGAATTTTAATGTTCCTGGGGTTGAAAGTGAGTCTCTGCCTGTGACTCAGTGGCCGCAGCTGTCAGTCAAACTCAAACTGGGTGCCTGAGGAATGTGGTAAACATGCCAGGGTGGTCCCAGAGAGCTGCAGTGAGAGGAATCTAACATAGCAGTGATGGGACAACAGAGTGAGATTTTCAGCTGCTCCCTCCAGTACAGGGAACACCTGCAGGTGAGAAAGACACAAAACATAACCTCATCCTTCCATCTGCTTTGTAGTTTTGGGGGGATGCAATTGTGTGCCAGGTTCTTCTACCTGGAGGCAAAGTTGGAGGTAACTATTCAGTCAGTGCACATTTTCACCTTCTTAAATTACACTTCACCACATTTCATTTATTAAGAACTACAGGCTGTGTTACAAGGTAAGACAAAACAAAGTTGTTGTTTTTTTTAGAAGGCTCTGTATCCTATGCCATCTCAGCTTTCACATGATCAATGGAATCCACAATTTTACGCTTAGTTAATTATGACCAGATATCTACTTAATTTCCAGAGTAAATGTTAAAGTCAAAAAATTTGATAGACATTGAAAGTAAATAGATTGATGTGCTTATGAATTTATTCTCAATATGTATTCTTCAGTCTGACATTTTATTTAACCATTTAAAAGTAATTTTACAAATGACTAGAAAACACTCAGAATATGGGTAATCAAAGCAGTTTATATCTCTATCTAACAATGTCAAGGGAGCCTTTAAGAAGTCCTCAAATCCAGAATCATGAATGGAGACACCACCAATGCCAAGATATGTGGTAACATTTTCAGAACAATCTATTCGTACCTCAGAAATCTTGTTGGTTCAGAAATATTGTTGGTTTTTTTGACCAACAACCAACAAACCAGCAAGAAAACTAGGAAAGGTAAAATTAGAAAAACAGATCTCAATTTGGCTTATGCTTGACGACGCCCGGAAGGTCAGCGCGGCCAGAATATGTCATATGTCACCGTTACCTAGCTAAGTTCAGCCATATTTAAGCATAGACAGCAAGCACAGGTAACTACTGCAGGGCATGGTCAGATCTTTTGAGACAGTGAATTTTCTTCCCGCTTTTACCGCAGATTGAAGAAGGCTTTGTAGAGCACTATAGGGATGATGAAAGCCTATTGATATTATGTAGATATGTAGCAGTGTGCACAACTTGAACCAATTAGAAATTCAGCTGCAATAACCACTATTCAACCACTTGGGGCAGCACTTCAACACTTTTACGACTCATATTGCACAGATTAAAATAATTCACGTAAAAATGTAAAATATGCAAAGTAAAACAAATATAACACACTATAAATCCAGTCTATACAGCCTAAATAAAAGAATGATTTTGTGTGAGTTACACTTTTAGTTGTAAATGTAAATATTACTCTCCCACAGGTTTACATAATTTTAAACCTTTTACTCTCTTTAGGTACTGACAGTTATTTATAATTGAACGCAATATCAGTGTGTCCCTTAGGCATCCAACGCACTGTAAAATAAAAAAACTCCGTTTAAGAAAAATAAGTACAAAAAAAAAAAAAAAAATATATATATATATATATATATATATATATATATATATATATATATATATATATATATATATATATATAAAGCAATGCAGATTTAATTTATATGTAAAAATGGTGATAAAGAAAGTCAGAGGTGAAAATGAATATGTATATATATATATATATATATATATAGCCTATATATATATATATATAGCCTATATATATATATATATATATATATATATATATATATATATATATATATATATATATATATATATATATATATATATATATATATATATATATATATATATATATATATATATATATATATATATATATATATATATATATATATATATATATATATATATATATATATATATATTAAATAGTCAATACTCAGCAGAATAAAGGACAAACTGGTTTTATCTGTATTTCTTATATAGAGATGTATCCAGTTTTAACAGCCTGTCATGGTTGATGGTTAGCTCCTTATCTCTCATGTATTTTAACCGGAAGGTCAAAATATTTCAGTCCGTAGAGAATGCAGGATGATTTGGAAAAGTGAATCTAAATGACTTTCAGGGGGGAACAATTTGTCATTTTTACTTGGCTGCTTGTCTCCCAGAAGAACGTGTAGCCCAAAGCTTTAATGTCTTTATATTTTATGGCACATTGGCGCAGGGTGCTAACTTTTAATTAATTCTGGTATGCGCCAAGAGTTCTGCCTTCTCTGCCAAAACCTAGAGAAGGAGGAGTTTAAGAAGGAATCGAAAATAACTCAAAAAAGTTGAAACTTTTTTTTTCATTTTATTTCCTGTGAACTCCTTTGTCAGCACTGCAATGTGCTGAACATGTGAACTGGGTGTGCTGTTAGTGTATTTTGGATGACTTAACTATTTTCCCACCTCTAAAGTCCACACCGGATATTAAGACAGTTAAAAAAAAAAAAAAAATAGCAAGAAATATTATTTTACCTTTATAAGCAACTTCTAATCCAAGATACATCCTTGCAGGGTTATACTTAAAGCTGCAAAAAAGACTAGATTAGTGTATATACAATCCAAATGTGTCCGAATGTTTTACAATTCTTTCAAAGTTGTCAATAAGAAAGAAATTGTTGGTCAATAGAAATAGTATTTATATTTCAGTAACAATGAAAGCTATTTTTACATGAATGTGTGTTTTTGTACAAAATTATTTCAGGGGCCTCCATGATGCCAAAATAACTCTTATGCTCTTTTTGGCAGATATGTCAAACAGACAGTGGGATAACTCAAACAGTGTTTATTTAAAACACAAACTGCAGATCTGCAGTAGCAGCAGCTATGGCATTTAAGGCTTTAACTTTTACAGGAGAGAAACACAGATTAGTGACCAAGTTAATCTGACGAAGGATGATTATTATTGCCTGAGCCACTAACCTGGTTTAACAGTTCAGTCAGAGAACAAGGTTGATTATGGCCGATGGGATGCCAGCAAGATGCGGTAGGCACCACCCAGAGTTTCCCAGATGCTGCAGCCCAGGAGAACAAGGTAATCAGAAACACCAATGTCATGATCTGGCCTGTTTGCTCCCCCTTAATTTTCCCTAGGTTTTCCCTCCCTGCCTCAATTGTAATTTATTCCTTTCACCTGTTTCCTCTTGGTTATATTCAGTTTAGCCTGAGCATTCAGTGCCAGATCATTACTTGTCTTTCTGTTCGTCTGTCTGTCTGAGTTTATTCCTTGGTTCATGTCCTGGATCCTGGCAGCCAGTGGAAAGAGGGTTTTAGTGTTTGTCTCATCTCCTGATCGTCCACTGTTCCTCCCCCGCGGAGTCCTCTGTGTATTCGGCTCTATATGTGGGGAGGTTAAGTTTTTATCCAGTAAGCCTGGCTCCAGGGAGGAGACCAGTTTAAAGTCCTGCATCAAGTTCCGGTTCTACGTCCTGTCTCGGCTACCCTCTTCCTCTGAGCCTGCCTGTCTGCACCTGATCCTGTCTGCTCCTGTACGTGACCACCTGGTCATGCTTCTGGTCCCAGTCAGACTCTGAACCCTCCTGGGAGCCTGTGGATGCCTGAAAGTCTGGATCCTGCTACCTGTTTCTGTTCCTGCCTGATCTGGACCTGCCTGTTCTGTCTGTTCCTGTCAGTTCTGGAACCCTGACCAGGATCGGCTTCCCGCATGACCTCTGGGACTGCAGCACTTGGGGACATTCTTGGTCTGGACTGTTAAACCAGGTAAGTGACCAACTTGAATAATCTTGGATAATCAAATGATCGTGGTCACTTACCTGTGTTTCTCCCACTACAGAGTGTCTGAGATTGGGCGGTGCCCCGCCCCCCCACCTGCAGTGTCCATCTGTCCGCCCTTAATGACAACCAAGGAACTCTAAAAACACTCTCACCACTGGCTAGAGGGAACAAGAATAATCTGGCCCTGATGACTGGATTCAAGCACCTTACATAGAGGCAGGAGCAGGTGGATCAGATGAGAGGTAAGCAACCAGGCAGAGATAGAAAGTTAAATGGAATAAGCAATTAAGCCTGTCATTAGTGTCATAACAAAAAGGGGCAGGGCAGTGATTGAGAGGGAGTACTCTCCATGTTATCCAAAAAGAAAAGGAAAACTCCTGTACCTTAAGCTTAGATCTCCTCCATCAGCCAAAGGAAAGAGAACCCCTAACTTGGTCCCCCCCCTTATATACTCAAACCACACCTGCATTAGTCTCACCCAAAGACAAGGATTGCAGTGTCCTATTTTGACTCCCAGATCACATTACTTCCATGGAGATACACAGATCAGCATACATCTAACAGTACACAGCTCACAATCCGTAATCTATCTCTAATAGCAATGTGCCTTGAGGACCCGGGTCGAGAACCATCAATGTACACACATGGAAATTTGGCTTTTGAATAAAAGATCTTTGTCTTCTTTAACCTCAAGCTTTGTGACCACTTCTAAGTTACGTAGGTCTCAGACTTAGGCCCACATATTATTGGCCTTTAAAATGTTATGTCATTCAAACCCATCTGCCAAGGATGAAGAGCCGTTTAACTGTTCCTTTGTAATGAGATTTTTTTTTTACCTGTTAAGAACTTTGGTTACTTTATTGTGTGATAGTGCTACATAATTCATCATAGATTGATTAAACTAATTAAATGTCTCTCAGAATTGACACAAAACGTATTAAAAATGAGTCCATTTTGCACTCTTTACCAGTGGAGCTACCTTCGTCCCATTGCCAGCAGACTGGCAACCCAAAAATATCCTTCAGGACTAAAATAGCACAGTCCCTCCAAAAAATTGCCACCCAGTGCATACCAGACAATATCCATTGCCAATGACTCTCACAACCCTCTTTCCAGGCAAGAGAGTGGGCCTACCAACAATACTGCTGCTTCAATGTGAGAATTACTATCCAAATTCAAGTGATGGTTGGCTACACACCAAAGAGGCAGATTCTTTTGCCCACAGCTGTCCTTTTTAATTTCTAAAAAAAAAGACAGATTGAGAGGAGGAGGTTGCCATCAAGAACCAGATGAAAAACAAAAGAGGTAATATATATATCATTTTATGCTATGTTATTTTATATTAACCGTGATCCTATTCATTTTTGGATTATTTTGTAAACCTATTTTTTTTTTTTTTTTTGGCAAATGATCACCATCAAAGATCTTTAGACACTAGGAGGGGCTATTATCAGGAGCCGGAACTAAACTGGACTAATTTTCATTTCTAAGACAAAAGCAGATTGGGAAGAAGGTACAGTTATAAATGTAATCTGTATCTATAAAGGTGGGGCATTGTGCGGCAGTTCAGATACACTGTTAGGCCTCATAAGAATCAGAAAAATTTGAATTAGAAAAGGTCTTATTGCCAAGCAGTCAGTGGAATAAATGACATATCTCACTGGGAGGAAACCCAGAGAGAGACCAAAGACAACTGGCCTGGGAACGCCTTGGGAGCTGGCCTCCCTACTGAAGCTGCCATCCCCGAGACCTGACCCCGGATAAGCGATGGATGGATGAATGGATGGATGGATGGATGGATGGATGGATGGATGGATGGATGGATGGATGGATGGATGGATGGATGGATGGATGGATGGATGGATGGATGGATGGATGGATGATGTCTGTATGTGTGTGTATGTGTATACAACATACACCTACGTGTATACAAAAGCAACAATAACTGAAATATGAAACAAAATACTTAGCAAAAACCATGGCAAGCGATTAAGGAAACATTAAAACAGTAACTCAAAGCTGTGGACTAAGCCTGACAGCCGTGGTGTCTAAATCAGCTGTGACGAGTATGAATATATCAGCTGCTTATGGCTCACATCTGCAAAACAAAGTGACTTCTGTCACTGAGAACTGACAGACACACTTTATGTGGCTACGCCATCTTTAACGCCACACTTCTGCTGATATTATTGTCATGGTGGTAACTCTATACTCTACTATGTATATGAAGAAGCAAATAAATCATGTTCAGAAATAAGATGATGTTCATATAGAGAGTAGTTGTGTTGCAGCCACTTGTTTCACTGAATCAGCAAATAGAAAAATAACTTTCTTTTTTTTTTTGATATGCTGTCAAAAGATAAAGCTTTGATGATGGAGTTTAAAGAAACATTTTTGACAGTTTAAATTAAACAAACTCTGTAGAAATGTGTTTTTACAACTTGCAGCAGCTGTTGCTGAGATTACTAAAGTTAGACACTTGCTCGTATGTCAGTATGTTGACTCTGTTCTTATCAGACTTTGACATCTTGTCTTTTCTATTCTCGGCTTTAGTCAATCTAAATTTGCTTTTGCTATTACAGTTTTTTTCTACCCAAGCTACTTTCTTCTTTTTCTTTTTGAATGTGTTAGAAATGTCCAAGTTTGTTTCTTAAAGTCATGGAAAAAGTTCTACAAATGTAATACTAGTTCTTAATTACTGTCTTGGTCTTATAGGATTGAACCATCCTGTAATACCGTCGCCAAAAAAGTTTTATTTATATCAAATGCAGCATTATTTATATTAAATAATGCTCTTATTATTTTTTTAACCCCAAAATGATTGACTGATCGTTGCAGTTCATGTTAATCACTCTCACAAGTGGACTGATTTCCACAAATGAGGCACAGGTGTGCTTGATGCCACTCTTCTTCTGGTTATTTCCAAATGAAAAAGTCAGATATGAGTTGTATAACAGCAAATTAATTAAATTTAAATTAATAAAATCCAAAATAATTGGATTTGCTTGCAGTGTGAATGTAGCTCTGCAGCCTTTAACGTAAGGACATTTCAATCCAGAATATGGCAGCCATCTTTCCACTCAGTCAGTAATCTCAACACTATCATATTGATGCATATACAAAGCTCTCAAGATTTATGTGAACAAAAACTTTGTCAATGGAGCAATGTTTACATATAACCAGGGTTTGGCTGTGGTCGTTTCTCAATATGTGTACTTGTGCATTCTGGTGTGGTCGTGAAACTTCATCAGCCTTAGCCATAATACCGGTCCAATTCACAGGAACACAAGACCGAGAATGGACAAAGTCCCCGGATGTTGTTCTCGCTCCTCCATCTTTACCCAGCATGCATCAGAGCAGCTGGGTAATTGCAGCAGCAGCTTCCAGGGAAGCGCTCACAGAGCTCAGAGTATTGAGTTAAAAGTTCTCTTTACTGTTTCTGCTTTTCTACAAAAGTACATTTTAAGATCATTTGAGATGAGAATATTATGCTTTAAGGTTCACTATATGGCCCATTTACTAATTTAGTGCATAATTTAATAATAAATAAAATATAAAGACAATAATTTAAATGTTTAGAAGACCATTGCAACCAGCGGACCTCCGAGGCTAACCGCAGCCAGATCTAATCCCAGCCCGTCCGCAGCAGTCCTCTCTCTGCATAGCCGTGTGTGAAGAACCCCTGGCTCTGTTGGCTTCTTTTTTCTTTATTTGGCAGCTCCAGCTTGCTTCGAATGTGGTGATGTCATGAATATGCTTCTTTTCCAATTGACCCAGATTTATTCTGCATGCTCCCATTCTCCCCCGAGTCCATACTTTCATGTATTCTTGTCAAGAACATACTCTTGACTTGAGAAACAGCGATTATCTTCTTTAGTCACTAGCTCATGTGGCATGGTATCTAAAGTTATTAGCCACTCAGCGTTTTTCACTAGCCATGTTGTTAGGAAATTTTGTATATTATTGTTAAAGCCAGCTTAACTGTACTCAAAATAAAAGTAAATTTTTTTGAACCTGTTAATGACCATTTTACACATAGCAATTCTACATTAAGTGTTTATGTCTACAGCTGATTCACCGCCCTGATAAGGTTCTCTGTATAGCTCCTTTAATATGCAAATATTCAGTGTTCAAAGTAATAAAAAAGAGTGGCGTCTTATTCTACACTGAAAAAAGTAATGCAACAGTTTTTGGTATTTACTTAATCATATATAGTTACTTTAACACAATTCTTTCATGTTAGCAGGGTAGGACATAAAACAATTGTGTTAAAGTAACTAAATATGATTAAGTAAATGCCAAAGGGGGTTGAATTCTTTTTTTCAGTGTATAACAGCAGCAGTGTATGGACGTAGCAGGTTAAATAGAAAAAAAAAAAACACATAGAGCCCAAAAATAAGAATGACAATTCATATAAAAATCTGAAGAGTCAGTGCAGCACATGATGTTCTCTCCTGGGTCATAAACCATTCTCAACCTGCTGTCTTCCACTTTTCATGAAAGAGTCTTTCCTTTTTCTTTATTTCCCCTTTTTTGGTTTCATCGTCAGGTTTTCTTTTCCTCAGCTCTCTGGGTTTTCTGACACCCTGAATGTGCTGTGACATCAATGCCCCCACCACTTCACTATTGTGTTCTCCACAAGCATAAACAAACACAGTGTGCTGTCAGTTGTCATGGGATTTGTCGTCTTTCAATTCGTTTCTTAATTTAGACGGCATTTGACAAAACTACAGTAAGAAATGTATACAGTATTATACCCACTAGTAGCTAGTAGGAGTGGCTGTGCTTCCCACCACGTCTTACATTCACCAACATTTGGGAGCTTGGTGACTGTTTATGTCATGACCTGCATGTAATCCCTATGTGAAGATCAGAAGTGAATTATAGGTTGACAATACAATGGATGCGTTTTGAGTGATGCAAATAGAGTGAAGCGAAACTGCGACTAGAGTGATGTCAAATTTCGCTGGAGATAAACAATCTTTCTGTAAATTATTGTTGCTTTAACCAATCATGATCTGATTTTCGTTGTAACTTGGAGGCATAGAGCGGACAAAGAAAGCTTATTTCAGACAAAAACCCACTGGGGGGTGATGTGGAGGTCCTGCTACTGGGTCCTGGACAGACATAAATATCACTGGTAGGGACTGTCATCCAGCCACAGGTCCTGGCTCTGGTGGTGGCACTTGTTGAGCATCTCTGGAGGACTTCATGAATAAAAAAATTGTATGAAAACATCTTTATAGTTTTCAACAGACCTCCATACCCACTGTATTGTTTTTCCACCAGTGCAGAGCTAGTTTGACATTGGTAGCAACTACCTATAGCAGCGGTCTTCAATGATTTCCAGGCTAATAACCCCCAAACTGACGGAGAGATGGAGCGGGGACCCCCTATTTATATATATTGTCTGAAATTGTGTTATATCAAACTGGTCCTATAGTCACTCTATTACAGATGGAGTAATGTAATGAAAGTAATTTGGCCCTGGGATTATTAAAGTATTTCTGATTCTGATTCCTGGTTAATGGGACAGGTGTTGTGAATGAAACGGTGCCCAGCTTGAAAGAGCTCCTGTGTGTCGCTGAATGTGAGCATTGATGACTGAAAGACATCTTCTGCAGTACCTCAGTGGACCCCCTAGAGGGGAGACCTCCAACCTATAGAGTTACAGTACTCAGTTCAGTTTTTTTAGTAACTTTTTGAATCACAAAAACGTACTTTTAGAAGATGTTTTCCTGTATCTTCCTTTTATTTTTGCCCCAAAATGTAATTGCAATTTTTGCCCTGCATTAAAAACAGTTGTTTAAGGGTTATCCTCCCAAAGGAAAGGTAAGAGCTCATTGGCAGAGCTAGGATGCTGCTAACACCCTAAAAACACAATTCCCTTCGTACCACATGTGGTGGGATATTGTTTTTAGTAGTGACAAAGAACCTGTTCAGAGTTGATGCAAAGCTGGGAAATTGCAGCATAGCAGAAGTTTTACAGATAGTGAGTCACAACACAATGAGGTATTTTCAATATCATTACAATATAAAATGTATAAACAAGCAGTATTGGTTAAAATACAAGTAAAATAAAATAAGTATCAAGTCCCGTAAACAGGACTATGGTGCAGTGAATAGATTATATATAATATATTACGACATGGAGTACAGTACAGTGCTGGTTACTGTATGCTGAAAAAAAAGTTTATTTTGCTAGTTTATTTTTGGAGTGTTGGCTTGTGCTCTGAGAAGGTTGGAATTACCCAGTTCTATCCCTCAATCCCACACTGCTCCCTGGGTAGTGCACAGTGGAAGCCCGCTGTTCCCCATGGGGATGGGTTAAATGCAGAGTTAAATTCTCCATTGTGAGATCAATAAGTTCAATTTCTATTTCTGTTTTTTATTGTACAATGTGATGGCATATGGCAGGAAGGATTTCCTGTATCTTTCCCTTCAACAGCAGAGCTGGAGCAGCCTGAGAGAGAACGCTCCTCCAGGTTATATATTAACAACCTGGAACCTGATATTTGTAGCTATGTTCAAGGCTGAGACAGACCCATAAAAGGTTTGTCCCAGAGCAAGACGCTGAGCCCCAGATTGATCCCCAGGCCCTGCAAGCTGCCCACAGCTACCTAAAAAATAGGTTAAATACAGAAAAAAAGCTTCACAGAAAATTACATCTGCAGTGATCCTTAAGATTAAATGAGAATTTAAACATAATAGTTGACACATCCATACCAAATACTTCGTAAAGGTGTGGTTATCTGTTCTGTTTACCCCCTTGAGTTTCAGTCTTCCGGTTTTATGTGCTGATGAACTTTCATTTATTTAAGCTTTTAAGGAAATCCAAGTGTGAGAAACAGGAACAGAAACTAAATTAGACAATTTGTGAACAACAATAAAAATTCAAACAAGAATAAATTATAGAAAACATTACTAAGCACTTATAAAACTTAGCAATGTTTCTGTTTGACCAAAAATGACCTAAAATATGAACTTTTTTTCACACCTATCAGTGTTAGGTGCACAATATTGGACCGCAGCGTTTAAGACATCCCACTTTTGGAGCTTAGATGATCCTGCAGAAAAAAAAAAATCCAGTTTCCTTTGGGAAGTCAGCTAATTTAAAGCATATTTGAACTCAGATTTATGAAGCATTTTGAAACATTGGTAAGGTGAGTGGAAACCTGTATGTTTCTCATTTATTTTATTGAATTTTAGACACGATGTTTTGCTTGAATGGATTCATTAGATTATATTAAATGTGCATTTATATTCAAACATAGTATGCTTGAGTATTGAGTTAGACTATTTTATTCAATCTGAGTAAGAAAATATAACAATTTTCGTATTTAATTTTCTGAAAGGCTTTATATTGAAACTTTATTAATATAATGTTAACTGGACACTTTACACTTATACGACTAAGAAATGCTGCAAATTTATTTTCTAAATGAGAAATAAAAACACAGTGGAAAGAAAATAATTTTTCAAAGTTTTATATTATTGTTGTTTGTATTTAGTATTCTCTTCTGAAGAGCAGAAAACTGCAGGAGAATCATGGAAAAGATGGAAATTGATGACATCGCTGATGATGGCACTTATAACCTATTGAATCAAGGTGCAGTATTCACACCCATGCTCCTCTTCTTATTTCTACCTATATATTTTTTGTAAGAATTCATTATTTAATGAATACAATAAATATGTTTCAAAAGTTACATTGTAAGAAGAGTGAAAAAGAAAAAAAACATTGTTATTTTTGGGTTATTATGTTTGGGTTGACTTCTTTAGGTAATTTATCTCAGGCTGTTAGACTCGATGGGAAACATCTTTGATCTAAAAATTGTGACAATATAGAAAAAGGCATGACATTAAATCACTTTTATTTCATTCAGTCTTGCTTTATTTCCTGTCAAATACTGACAGATGACAGAGCTTTACTGCTGCAGAAAGGCATACATTACCAAGAAATGCACTTTGTTTTTCCAGAACAATTAAAACTTTTTCTTTTCTATATAAATACAGTCCACATCATGGTTACCTTTGAGGTTACATTTTATGGATAACCAATTGTATGTTTTTCATAGTTTCCAATATGCATAAGGACATTTTTTCTCCAGATATTTAATGTCAAAGCCTGAATAACAGTTAAAAAAATATTTTCAACAGATCCAAATTATAAATTCTAGCTAGTTTTTTTTTTTTCTTTAATTCAGGGAACATTCATGGAAGAAAGTGGCGACATAGATATGTCTCCATTTGTCTCGGGTTACTATGCATTGTCCTTTTGGCTGGAAATATTGGACAACTTGTCTACTGTGAGTACATTATTTGGTGACACAAAAGCTAATGTTTTGATGTTTAGTTTTGTAATGCTTTGTGAAAACCTTGCAGCCTACCAAGCCAAACAAGGTAAGATCTTTCTGTGCAATTCTCAAAAGTGCAAAATCCCCATCTCAGAATTTTTTTTACATCTCTTAAACATTTTGGTTTCACGCTGCATTACAGACACTGTTCATCTTGGATTTAATGTGATAAATTGATATAAATTTGTGCATAGCAGTGATGGGAAAAAAATATATATTTTTTTCCCATCACCCCAAAATCAACTTTTTTTTTTTCAGACAAACTGTATTATCCAGGCCTGAGTTCCTATTCTGTCCTATTTTACATTTGTTTGCAAACTTACTTCATTCAGCAATATTTTCCACCATCTTAGTTCTTCTATTGCATTTGAATGTTCCCATTGGATTTAGGCATATAGTGGAATTTGTAATGAACTTAGTTAACGGACCATCCGGACAGATGATCACTACTTTTCACTACTGTTGGTCACATAACTCCACCACACTCTGGCTGCACCATCTTTTTGATTAGTCCTTGGCGCCAGTAGCGACAGCCACTACTTTTCAAGGTTAATTGTGTGAAATTTCGAGTCCACTACTTTTCATCCACTACACATTCAGACACTCATTTAAAATGATGTAATCACTATATAGTGCCCTATATAGTGGCCTATATAGTGATTAAGGCGGACACAGCCTGAGTGTGCTAAAATATGTTATTGTGATCCATGAGGATAATGCTGGCTGATAGGTCAAAATCCTTATACATTTTATTGAAGTTAGAATGTGAACAACATTTGAGGAAATTTAAAGAGTATGAAAGATTTTTCCAAGGAACTACAGATCAAGAATGACTTCTTCAGGATATTTAGTTCTTTCTTGTTATAATGAAGTGCAAACTGCTCGGTTCATGCTGCAGGACCACCTACTGCTCTGATGTGACTCGAGGCAAACATCACTTATTATTTGAATCTCTCCCTGTTTAAAGAAACCTATAAACATTCTTGTTAAAATGTGATGCAGCCGTCAGTTATTAGAACAAAAATGAACAGCTGCATGCTGGAACTTTGAGGAGGCATTTTCTTTTTTCTTTTTTTGACAAAACAATTCTTCTGTCTTCATGTGGATTTAGTAGATCAGTGCATTCCCTGGATACCCAGGGATTTTTTTCCCTCAACGTTTTATCTTTGATGGCTTTTGGAGCTAATTTTACCAGCTAAAATATCACATGCATCATTGATCATATTAGAAAACATTTTTTTCTGACAGAATATGTCACATGTTGACCTACTTTCCCATTGCAACTGTGTTCAGAGTGATTCTCTGTTAGCGTTGGTTTTAGAATTTGGGTTTCCATTCAAAATCTTACATATATTTGTGCCCAAACTTAGTCAGAAATGAATTTTATTCATTTTTTCTGCAAGATGTTATGTTTATTAGGCAACAGGGGGTCTTTATCCCCAGCAAACTTGTTTATTGACTGAGTCATAAATATGATATTCTTGGGACCACGTGATGATTTTGCTATATTTTAATTGCATGCCAACAGAGGGCCCTGAATGTGTATTTACGCATAATAATAATAATAATAATAATAATAATAATAATAATAATAATAATAATAATAATAATAATAATAATAATAATAATAATAATAATAATAATAATAATAATAATTTAATGTTTTGGGCTGTTTGCAGCAGCTTAAACTTGCATGAAAAAGAAAAATATCAGTCTTTTATTTTTGTACATGCATCGGGCAGCCTTCATTTTTCTTTGTTTGTTTTGTTCTTTTATGGTTTATTTTGTTTTACATTTCATGCCATGTTTATTTCAGCAATATCACATATACTGGAGCAGTTGCTGTACATGCTTAGGGTCATTATTGCTCTTAATCAATGAGGATCTCTGTTCAGTTTTTCATGCTGAGGTTTCCACTTTAAAATAAAAAATTTTAGCTAAAACTTTGTCATCAAAATGATACATTAAAAAAAGGACAGATCAACTAATCATTTAGAGCACATATTGTCAAAGCTCAGAATGGAGGACCCAGTTTCCAAAAACAGTTAATTTTCTAACAATGTTAATTAAACTGATTTGCAGGGAAATGCGAGGGCATCTAAGGCAGGAACCTCTGCAAGAGGAGAACACAGTTTAGAGACCATGTTTACCTGGCAGAGGATTATTAAGAACATATGAGTTACTAGCCTGATCTTAAAGTTCACTCCCTGTCCAGAGGACAAGGTTGGTTCCAGCTGGTCAGCTGCGAACAAGATTCGGGGACACCGCCAAGAGAATCCCAGACACTGTAGCCCCAGAGGTCGAAGGACAGGCAGGAGATCAGAACAGAGCAGACGAGGAAAAGCAGGATAATCCAGAGTGTGAAGCCAAATCCGGTGTCGAGGATGTGCTTGGGAGTCCGGGCCAGGAGATCAGAGATCTGAAGAGGTGCTGAAGGGAAATCCAGGACGGTGTCAGGAATCAGTTACAGGGTTGGTCAACAGGCAGATATTGAGCAGGAGGTTGAAGGCAGGTCATGCAAAGAGGTCAGAAAGGGGACAAGAATGCTCAGAGGTCCAGAGGCAGAACGGTTTAGGATCAGGCAATCAGAAACAACTAGATATGCTCAAAAACTTTCACCAAAAGCTAGAATAATCAGGCACTGATGAGTGGTAGAATGCAGGTTAAATAGAGGCTGAAGCAGGGGGATCAAATGAAAGGTAATGAGAACCTGGCAGAGCTAGGCAGGTGAAATAAATGAGTAGGCCAGTCATTGCCAAGATCATGATACATATTTAGTATATAAATAAACTTTCATGGATGTTGACAGTTCAGAAGGATATTATTTCATTTAGCTGTGATAGCAGCATCAACACGAAAGGATTCTCCACCAAAGCAAAAAGGCTGAGGTTATGTGAGACTGAGCTCAGGCACTATCACTTCCTTATAGCTCTGTGAGCTTATAAATTACTTTTTTCTCATTGTTATATTTCTCAGATTCTTGGTTGGTTTTGACTTAAGGAAGCAGTAGGGCTCAACATTATTGCATTGGCAGACCTTGCAACCAACTGACTAACTGTATAGAAGGAGAGTAGGTTTAAAATATTGCTGATAGAGCAAATAAATCATAACGCCATGCACTCTAAAAAAGTTCCAAGAGTCTTTGGGAGATTGGCAGGTGCACAGCATCACAGATATTTCAATATACACTTGCCGGCCACTTTATTAGGTACACCTGTCCAACTGCTCGTTAACACTTAATTTCTAAGCAGCCAATCACATGGCGGCAACTCAGTGCATTTAGGCATGTAGACATGGTCAAGACAATCTCCTGCAGTTCAAACCGAGCATCAGTATGGGGAAGAAAGGGGATTTGAGTGACTTTGAACATGGCATGATTTTTGGTGCCAGAAGGGCTGGTCTGAGTATTTCAGAAACTGCTGATCTACTGGGATTTTCACACACAACCATCTCTAGGGTTTACAGAGAATGGTCCGAAAAAGAAAAAACATCCAGTGAGCGGCAGTTCTGTGGGCGGAAATGCCTTGTTGATGCCAGAGGTCAGAGAAGAATGGCCAGACTGGTTCCAGCTGATAGAAGGGCAACAGTGACTCAAATAACCACCCGTTACAACCAAGGTGGGCAGAAGAGCATCTCTGAATGCACAGTACGTTGAACTTTGAGGCAGATGGGCTACAGCAGCAGAAGACCACACCGGGTGCCACTCCTTTCAGCTAAGAACAGGAAACTGAGGCTACAATTTGCACAAGCTCATCGAAATTGGACAATAGAAGATTGGAAAAACGTTGCCTGGTCTGATGAGTCTCGATTTCTGCTGCGACATTCGGATGGTAGGGTCAGAATTTGGCGTCTACAACATGAAAGCATGGATCCATCCTGCCTTGTATCAACGGTTCAGGCTGGTGGTGGTGGTGTCATGGTGTGGGGAATATTTTCTTGGCACTCTTTGGGCCCCTTGGTACCAATTGAGCATCGTTGCAACGCCACAGCCTACCTGAGTATTGTTGCTGACCATGTCCATCCCTTTATGACCACAATGTAACAACTTCTGATGGCTACTTTCAGCAGGATAAAGCGCCATGTCATAAAGCTGGAATCATCTCAGACTGGTTTCTTGAACATGACAATGAGTTCACTGTACTCAAATGGCCTCCACAGTCACCAGATCTCAATCCAATAGAGCATCTTTGGGATGTGGTAAAGGAGATTCGCATCATGGATGTGCAGCCGACAAATCTGCTGCAACTGTGTGATGCCATCATGTCAATATGGACCAAACTCCCTGAGGAATGCTTCCAGCACCTTGTTGAATCTATGCCACGAAGAATTGAGGCAGTTCTGAAGGCAAAAGGGGGTCCAACCCGTTACTAGCATGGGGTACCTATTAAAGTGGTTGGTGAGTGTATTTATTCAGTGATCATGACATGCTTTTCTCCATATTCCCTCTTGTTTTTGTGGTGGTTTTCAATGGTCAAAAATTAGGACACCTTCAGTCGATCATCTGCTTGCCTCAGGACGGGAGAAGAAGCGTTTATTTTATAGATCAAATTGACATGCTGTCCTCAGTACACGTAACACAGCGCTTCACATTTCAACAGAACACATCTAGCTTTTTCTCAACTGTCATTCCAAATCTGGGCGTTTATATAGTTTCAACATTGCACTGTGTGGACGTATGTGCACGACTGGACAGTAGAAGCACCTGACTGTTGAAATCTTAACAGTAGAGTCGCTGTAGCAGTTGACTGACTGCATGTTATGAGAGGAACACAGAAAAGTGTTTCTGTCTGACATCTAAGAAAAAAAATGCTTATGTAACATTTATTCTTAAGGAATTATTAAGGATAAATTATAGACCTACTCGAACTAAAGGCCGGCTTAAAATATCGTGTTGTATTGAAAAGTAAACTGAAAAACGTTTTTGTAATCTTTAGGGGTTGCTGGTCATCTTTCAACTTCTATGAAGCTGGTATTGATTCTTTGTTTTGTTTCTGGTTACTGCATCCCTCCTCTTTTCCGATGCACAGTTGTAAAATGTGCTTTCTGTATGTGGTAGATTGCATTAAGAGTACTTCTACAGATGAATTGTGGATATATATATCCATAATAATCCTGCAAATTTCTTGATTCATTGTTCTTTTTATTTTACAGATAATATTACCTGTCCTGCATCAACAGATGCACCACAAGCAGCCTATAATGCTCTGACTCAAAATCAAAATGACATCCTTGCTGCAGAAAACAGGAGATTATGCAGTGAACGTGATGCCTTGTCTGCAGAGAAGCAGCAGTTTAACGCTATGCTGAGGAACCTGACCGAACACAATGAGCAATTACATCAAATTTGCACATCCCTAAGAATAGAAAGAGACAAGTTGGGGTTCAGTATCAATAATGTCACAAACAAGATCAACCTACTCCAAGCTAATTACAGTGGCTTAAAAACAGCATGTGGCCATATAAAAACAAGCTATAACGAGCTACAACAGACTTTTAAAGACTTACAAAGTGATCACAATAACCTTACTGCAGATGTAAGTCTGTTAAACACCAAATACAAAAACCTGCAAACGGAAAAGGAGGAATTACAAACACGATTTTCTCTTGAAGTGAAGAGAGTTCAGTCAGAAAGAAACTGCTCTTTTCTGAGGAAGGAGAAGGACCAGCTACAGGAAAGCCTCCAGATGCTGAATAGAAGTAACATTGAAATTCAGACAAACTACAGTTTGCTTTGGAAAAATAAAGAATTACTGACAACAAAGTATGCTGAGCTGACAAAGGAAAAAGAGGATTTACAGATGAGATGCCAAAATTTGATCAACTCCACAGATATTTTAAAGACAAAAGACAAGATAGGAGAAATTCCAAGCGGTAAGGGCTTTCTTTGATCATTTTTAAAGCATGTTTTATTTTGTGTAAGTATCAAGATAAGCCTTATTAGCTATTGTTGTGCAAAGGAAAAAGGAATTTGACTTGACTTTACATGCTCTCACCATAAAAACACTGCATAAAAATACAAACTGAAGGAGATTTGAAAATAAAAGAAAATATGTGCATTTGAATAGGGCCCAATAAACAGGGTGACTACTCTGCAGGGTTTTTATGACCTACTGAGGGAATAAAGTGATGCTCTTTAGCACTGACCTGAAGGTAAAAGTCTGAACAGTTTTTGTCCAGCATATGTGTGATCTGCAGATGTTACCCATTCATTAATCTTAGGCTTCTGTTTATCACTCCTATCCCTTCTTCATATGTGGAGTCAAAAGTAAAAGCAATGTCTAGGGCAGAAAAGACCTCTGGACTGCTGAGCTGAGTCCAGACAGCCCTTAACCATACAGAACCCATTTTGCAGGGGATACATATGAAAGCGGGTGGCAAAATTTGGACTACAGCCTTTGCAAAAGGAACTATAAAAAAACAAAGTTACCAACATATAGTAAACTGTAGAAGCTCTCTGTTATAAAATCCAAAACTTATGAAGATGCATACATGTCACAACATAATGTCTTTTTGCTCAACTCTGTGTCCTGTCAGGCAAATGATTATGGACAAGCATATAGCTCCTGGCAGTGGCTAGGGACATCAAGGGCTACCTTCCTTAAATTAAATGCCACCAGTAAGCAGACTGCTTCCTGGTCCTAGTTCCTTCAGTGGTGCGAGCACTATTAGGATAATATTTCATATGGCCGCCTCAGATGCACTTATGCCTTGGCTTGATGGTCCATACAGATTTGAGGTTTTCAGATGGAGTCCTAGATATGTTTAAGTACTGGATGGAAGAAAAACAGCTATGATGATCGTCTTTTCAAATCTGATTGATTGTTTTAGTCTTGTCCTGTCTTGTTTTGTGGCTGAGCCAAACCACGCAGTGATTGATGGGCATAAGACAGACTGTACAATGGGTGTGCAAAAATGACAACATGCTCTGCTCATTTGAAAGGTTCATCTTCGACTCCAGAGTAACTTAGATTTTAAGAATCAGAAATGATCCACAGAAGACAGTATATTACTGATGATGGTAATAGAAGGCAATGTGGGGAGTGTTCTAGATAGGTCAACTATCAGTTCTGTAGCAGGTTATGCTCTAGGTGGTTCTGACCACACCAGTGGATCTGTCTCCCTGGCCTCACCTGCTGCTGTTAATCTGTTAATAACCTGCCGATTGACTCGATTGCTAGAAGCTGGCACTCTGAACTTAGTGGAGTGTCTGTGTTGAGGCCCACAAACAGGAACATCATCCTTGTCATCCTTCCAGGTTCACACTGTTGTCAACCAAGCAGTTTGCCAGAAAGCAAACTGCTTGGTGTCCATACTGGGGCCAATGATGTCCTTCAGATGCTTTGACAAAAGGATTTGGGACTTCAGATTACAGAATGACAGGCCTTTTGGAATTTAATCCTGTACTTGTGAGTTTCTTGGGGAAACAGAGTGAAGCGGAGGAAAACCTTGCAAAGATCCTGAGACTTGTTGATATGCAGATGGTATAATGGGACCCATTGGCAAGTGCCAGAGCTTGAGCTTTCCTGTTCTTCTAAAGGCTTTTTAGCCAAGTCAGATCTTTTGTGGTGAAAAGGGATCGGAGAGAAAGGGGTTGTTGCTGCAGGTAACACACCACAGGTGAGAGGGGAGGAGGTTACAGAGTTGCCGGTGGGGGAAGGAGGGTTTAATAAATCACCTTTTAAATGGTTAAAGAAAGTGTCTGAACACCTGCCTGTGTGTCTTTGCTAATTCTGTTGGCTGGCATAAGGTGAAGGATTTTTTTCTATTTCTAGAGTTGCTCTGTCCAACGCATTGGAGGTATTTTAAAACAAAATGCTATTTTGTTTCAACGGTGAAAAAGAACTGGACAGAAAGCCGTAGAGCCTGCATTTCCGAGGGGGCGGATCTGGTTATCATAAACAATCATGAAGAACAGGTGAGAATAGAAACAAATTAGGCCGTCTGCAGATACACTGTACCTATATCCTTTAGTAACCTTTGTTTTACAGCTTTAGTTTCCTCAAAATTAGTTTTGCAAAATATGTAATTATTAAAATCAGGCTTGAGTTTGAACAAAAAATATACACTGAAAAAATAATGCACTATTTTTGGCATCTATTGAATTATATTTAGTCCTACCCTGTTAACATGAAACAATTGTGTTAAAGTAACTAAATTTTTTTTTTTACTTTTATAGTCATTACACTGTCATAAGTACAGAGCAATGAAATTAATTCTCTGAATTTAACCCATCCCCTTAGGAAGCAGTGGGCTCCCACTGTGCAGAGAAGTGTGGGGGTTAATGGTCTGCTGAGGGACCCAGAGTGGGGCTTGAACTTAGAACCTGTAGATAACAAGCACAGAGCCCCAACCACTAGACCACCACTCCCAAATATGATTAAGTCGATGCCAAAAAGGGTTGGATTATTTTTTTTTTTATTGCACAGAGTCATACAGTTTTAAGTCCAAGGTGGTCCTGATGCTAATACGCTAAAAAAGTTTTATGTTGTTTATTTTCATTATTATAAAATTAGACCAAAAAATACATTCTGGCTGTAAAAAATGCATCAATTGTCATAATTACAACCCTATAGAGTAATTAATGGAACTTTAGGATATAATTAATAGTCAAATAATGTAAAAAAAAAAAAAGAAAAAAAAAAAAAAGAAAAGAAAAGTGCTCTGAGAAGTCCTAAACAGTTATTCCTCTTTTTCCGTGCTAACCAGAGCTTTGTTCATGGGATGCTGCATAAAGATCAAAATGCCTGGATTGGTCTCACCGACAGTCTCACAGAGGGAGTTTGGATGTGGGTGGATAAGACCCCTGTCACAAAATCGTAAGTAGAATCTTAGTATTGGCCAATTACAAACATTGACAAAAACCGTTATCAGGAAATGTTGGTTTTTAAATGTTTATTGGTATCGGACTGATAAGTAAAACTGGGCCAGTATTAAAAACCAACATCTATTTACATTGTTATGCTGTTTTTGTTTCAGGAGGGAATCTGTTATGCGGTATTTGTTTAGTCATGTGACAATGATTGTAACGCAGCCCAGGATTGTGAGTACTCAGTGACAGCAAAATCAAAGTAACTCATTACTAGTCAAAGTCACTATGCTGTTACTTTTAAATTTTCTTAAGTGTATGGAAAGCTGTCCTACTGGAACTTAAAAATCAACTCTAGGTTCAGCTATGAAATATAAGATGTCTGTATTTTATTGATGAATAAAATAAACAATTAAAAGTTCTATATATCTGAAGGCACTGAGTAATAATTTGCACTATTTTGGTGTGTGAGTTGGACAGGTGAGTTGCTTTATGATTACCTAGATGCCATATTGTAATCAGATCACTAAAAAAAAAAGCAAACTAGATGCTATAGAACTTTATATTTTTTTTCCATATTGAGAAGCAATAACTGGCTAAAGGTATTAAGGTAAAAAAAATAAAGTTTTTAAAACGTTTTCACAAAAATAAATATAATTTAAAATAGAATTAAAAAGGAGAGAGACTATTCCAGAGGCAGCCAACATCAATCAGAGTTGATGTTGGCTGGTGATGTCTGAAACGTCCTTAGAATAACGACGATTCTATCCAGTGTGGATATACTTTTGTTCCAGCAAATGAAGTGTAAATCAAAGCAGCCTTTAGATTATAATTTAAATGCTCACTATTCTTTCAATATAATAGCCTACAAATCTTTAGAATGCATGCTACAAATACGCACAGTTGCCTATCAGATAAATATATTTAAGAACAATTCATCAGTCAAACCCCTTGGTGCAAATTTCTTAATGTTCTCTGAAGATTTCTGTTCTAATATAATTCCGTAAAAATTCAAAAAATATCCACTGGACTTGGTTTCCAAGATTTGAAGACGTTTCTCCACCTCTCCAGGAAGCTTTCTCAATACAAATGTTTGGATCCGCAGTGAGTTTGAGTCTTATATAGGCAAAGCCTTGTATCGCTTGGAAACATGCAATGCGAACATTCTGGTCCTCAAAATGTTCACATTCTGGATAAAGAAAATAGGTGGTTTGAGAGGGGCGTGAAGGAAGCCATCTATGTTAAGAGAGAAAAAACAACTTTAAACAGAGGTGGTGGACTCAGATTCCAGCTTTCAAAAACACATACTTACTTAATACAATTCAATCATAGACATGATCCCTTCAAGATACCACCAAACCCCCCACCCCATCACAGAGGAACGAGGGACCTACCCGCTCTAGCCGGTGAACAATACCTCCTTAACGACCGACTCTTAACAATCATAGACAGGTTTCATGTATTACAGGAGACAATCCCCACCTTAACGGCAATCCTCCCCCCTTAACGACCGACTCTCAGAATCATAGACAGGTTCAGATATTACAGGCTAATGATGGAACCAAACGACCCATTCATTGGTTACCATTTGCATGTTTCCAAGCGATACAAGGCTTTGCCTATATAAGACTCAAACTCACTGCGGATCCAGACATTTGAATTGAGAAAGCTTCCTGGAGAGGTGGCGAAACGTCTTCAAATCTTGAAAACCAAGTCCAGTGGATACTTTTTGAATTTTTACGGAATGACTATGACCTGGATGACTGAGAACCTTCATCAGCATATGTTCTAATATAAATATCTGTCTTGACCATAGGTGGCAGTATCATTAGAAAACTGATAATAGAAAACTCTTTAAATAAACCAACTGTATTATTTAGACAACCACTGCCTCGGTTAGTAATTATGATCTATGCTTCATCTTCAAAACAATAATGCAGCTTCAAAAACTGATTCTAAGTTTTGAGGATATATAATTCTTGTTAATCCTATAACCTTCTATCTTGTCTGAAAGTGGTTTGCAAAGTCATGACATTAGGCGAAGGTTTGAACGGGATTAGTGATTACAGACGGAATCAACGAAAAAAAAGAAGTGCATCCATCACAATAAGGGAAAGGTACAATGTTTTATTTCCCTTTTTTTCAGGTTGGATTAATAGAATTTTCCTGTCTTTATTGCCTCTATCAGGTACTGGCTGCCTGGACAGCCCAACAACTACAGAGGACAGGACTGTGGAGAGATGGTGCAGACAGATTCAGGGGGGAAATGGAACGATGACGGTTGTTTTTCTCAACAGCTATGGATCTGTGAGAAATAAATCCATGAGGTTAACCAGATCTTACAAACTTGTATAATCATGTTTTAATTATGAGAATGTTTCACAAGAGCATAATTTGAACTATTATTTCCATCTAATGGTGTGACTCATTATGTGTCTAATTTGGCAAGAACCTAAGTTAATAAGTTAATCAAACTTACCTTTTCCTATGTGATAGAATTTATGCTACAAATGTACAGGTTCCTGTATTCAGTGTTTATTTCCTGCCGTTTTATTTTGTTTTGTTGTGTCATCACATTATCGGAGATGATAAGATCGAATATGTTGGAATAATAATTTTATTATCATTTACTGGTGCTTAAACGTATTAAAGAAGCACAACCTGTTGAAACAACCACATCTGCTGGTAAATTGAGATTGAGATTTTTAATTGATAATCTAACATTTCAAATATAGTCATTATACAGTATGCTTGTCATCCATTATGCATTCAGTAATTAATTTTGGATAATTTCTAATTTGAATATAAAATATTGCTTCATTATTTATAATTTCAAAGTATATTTCTTTAGTAATTATTTATAATAAAAAAAGAATTATTACAGCAATCAGGATAATCAATATCCAGGTGTGATTGTAGTGACAGCTCAATATTTGATGGCAAGAAATTAGTGAATTTCTCCGCTGTGAGATCAATAAAGCTCATCTAAGCTAGCAGCACCTGTGAAAAGCATAGAAAAGATAAACAAAGTTTATTCTTTGTAGGCTGGTATGAAAATTTTCAGTCATAATACTTCAAGTTCACCATTAGAAAAATAACATTTCCAGGGTGATGTTTGACTTTAAGTCAGGCACATTTAGGTTTGAAGTATGCTTTGAAATGTACAATATGTTTTACTTTTTTGTTATTTAACTGGAAGTTAGATCAATATTTTGTGGTGGACCAGCTTACCCTAAAGGATAAAAATAAGCTTTGACATGTCATATATTTTAATAATTGTAAAAAAAACATTTGCTTTTCAATAAAGTTTATTCTTTTCACATTGTTTTATCCTTTGAGAGATACCTGCCTCTTTCACTATCAGAAATAAACTCCTTAATTGAAACAAAACACATGATTTCCAGGTTTTAACTTTTACATTTATAACGAGGGTAAAGAGTAAAACACCCTTACAAATAAACAAAACTTACAAAAAAGTATGATGTTTTTCTTTGGTTACACCAGAATCGCTTTATCTTTGTCGTCCTCCAAATGTTATCATGCTGCATCTTTAACAGATGACAGTGAGATGCGCTGTCATCTGTTTGTTTGTTACATAATGCTGTGTTACAAGATAAGAGCACTGTTTAAACGTTTATGTGAGCAGCGCAGATGTACTTAGTGGGGAAAGACACGCCGCTTTTTTTTTGGGTGGGGTGGTGGTTTCCACTGAGTGCAGTTTCTCTTTAAGAGGGGCATCTCTAACATTAATTGGTCTAAGCCTTTTCATTACCTCTAGAGATTAGTGAGATCCAAACCTCCTGTGGTCACGTGGTAAGATGAGGGCATCCCAATGGGATGTAGCTGAGCGTTGAGGTTACGATTTTGGGTTCACGGCTAAAAATAAAAGATCAAGGAACCTCTTCTAGACATGCTGGGCTGGTAAGACACAAACAATCCAACTGAATAGCTTTAAAATGTATGGAAAGGTTGTTACATGTCTGTCTTTCTGATCTTTGGATATTAAAGAACAGAGAATTATCTTTAGCATCAACTAGCGTGAATTGGGTATGTTTTTAATAACAGCAAAAATATCTGTCCTGTTAAGCCTTTCAAAGTCAACTAAAGGGATATATATATATATATAATTAGATATTTCCTTTGAGTAGTTGATTTCTACTCACTTGGAAGAAAGACACTTGCTATCAAAGCAGAGCCACCTCTCTCAGTATGTGGGTGTCCTCAATTTCATGACATTACCATTTCCTGCCACTTCTTGTGATTAGGCTCCTGTTAGCAAAGCTAAGCAAAGTTTCAGACCTCATGAGGCTGCAAAAATCCCTTTCACAACTTTATCGTTAACCAATAAAACAGTAGTGGCTGTCACTATGCAGATTACATGAGACACTTTGTCTCGACATTGAGCAATAATGATGCTCCGCATTACATCACTAATAAGACAAATAAGGCATTTCTTTACTTTAAAGGCACAGCACAGTCAAGATATTTGCTTCCTGGAGAGTGCAGGTAAAGACAGCCTGGTTATGTCTTTTCCACTAGTTTTTCCAGGACGGCAGAATTCATCAAAATTTATCATATATGCATTTGTGGTTTGTTCTTTTTCTGAATCTCTAAATCCTTTACTGGTATGCAGTATTAAACTGTTCATGCTTTCTTTCACACCTTCCTACAATCCTTATAATTGTAGATATAAAAATTTTCACTTTTTGATGAAAATCTTGCTGATCTCATAATATATGATCTCATTATTACTAGATCATCATGATGATCTAATTATGAGTTTAGACTTTTTGCATTCAGAACATCATAGTTAAACATCACAGATGACAGAATAAATCTTTCTGTTCAGCCATCCTGTCAGGTTTGAGCAAAAGATAACTAGGGAATAAAAAAGGGAATAAAGTAGATTAAAAAAAGCAAAAATTACAGCGTTTACAGCCCTACAACAATTATTTCTGCAAAATGATATCAACCTTTTTGTCTTTACTTTTTTCTCTTCAATCTGCACTTTAAATCTGTCAGGATGAAATGTTTATCCTCAAAGTATAAGGAGCTCAAGCTGTGACTGTGCTCAGCCCGTTGGGAAGTGGATTAAAACTGAGCTAACAGAGAAAATAAGTCTATTTTTACACATCAAACCATATTCCCTAATGTTCCGAAGAATCATCGATCAATTGGGATTCAAATCCTAAACTAAGTATCCGACACATGCAGAGGCTGGATTTGTGTTTGCTTGTCTTTCCAGAATTTCAACATTTTGGGACAATAAAGGGATTTTCTATTCTGTTCTAATTATTACCCTATACTCCAGTATAGGGTTAGGGCAGGTTTTAGAGATACTTTAGGAGACCAAGCTGCTTGGTCTCTAACGGAGATAAGACGAAATTACACTGTCCTTCAGTCTGTCACTCTCTACACTGTGCATAATAATTAGCCTGTTGAACTCATTAGCCGATTTAAGGTGAGAAAGCTCATCAACACAAACCTGTCACCTGAATATAACGATTATTTCCTCTAAGATGACGTGTTCGCATGGGTAAATCATGAGAATGAAGCAAATACTCTTTCCATGACATGTTTTGTGTTCAAAGCTAAAAAAGTATTCCTGATTACTGAAGGATTTTTCTTATGGCTGATGAAATGATTTAAGCTAAGTAGGATAAAAGGCAAGAAATTAGTAGAGGAAAACTCCCTACTTGACCGCCACTAGAATTGACTGTTTCTACTATACTTAACTGAGTGCTTATGTTACACATTCGACACTCAAAAACCTATTAAGAAATGTTTGGTTATACTTCAAACTGTCATAACCAGTTAACATAGTTTTTTAATTAAATAACAGGTTCCACATCATACTTTATAAGCCCTATAGACATATAAGTATATTGGTCTTGGCACTAAGGACCATTGATTTGCTATTGAACCATTTTTTTTCCCCCTGGTGCTATGCTTCAAACCCGAAAACCCCCCACCTGTCTTCAGTGTTAAGTCTCCTCTGTTAAAGTCAGCACCGACCATTTCCTGACATCGCCCTAGACCAGAGGTCACGGATTGGCGGACCGCTGTCCGGATCCAGACCCACCTGCTGGCTCATCCAGACCCAACCTGATTTAAAACATTTATAATTACCACATGTTTTCTGCCGACAGTGTCTAATTTCACTTGCACCTCTTCTCCTGTTTGTACGGTAAAGCCCTCCGGGACCAGGCTACACATGATGCATATTAGCCACTGAGTTGTGTAAGTCAGGGCTGTTGCCGCTAGCTACTTTTAGAACCTGTTGCAAGCTGGGTGGTGGGTAACGATGATGAGAAAACGTGAAAGAAAGTGTGGACTGCTGGAAGAACTGTGGTGAAATGGTGACAGAAAAGTGAAATGGCGTTCTCAAAGTTGACCATGCACGTTTCGAGTATGTTTGGTTCAACCTGCTGCTGTGAAGCAGGATTGTCCACCATGACCTTAGTCAAAAATAAATATGGATCCAGGCTCACAAATGAGCACCTTGATATGTGCTTAAGAACGGCTTTGTCTCCATTCAAACCCAGGTGTAAAGCCTTGCAGGGCGGCTTAAAGCCCACTGCTCTCATTGAGCCATATAAAAGAAAGAAAAAACGGTCTGTTCAGGAGTTTTATAAAATGTGTGAATCAGGACATTTTCTATATACCGCACTGAATGTTTGTTGTTATCTACTTAAAAAACACTTTTGATTTTAAAATGGAAATATGTTTTACTTTTTTCTTTTATATATTTATTATTTAAAAAGTCACTGTATAACATGGATGCATCAAAACCTCATTTTATTTCATTGATAAATTATGTTTAAAGTAACGGATTATAATTAAAAATTTCTCTGGACCTTTACTAGTTGTTGATTTTCTTTATTCGGACCCCATTGATTTTTAATTGGTTACTCCTGCTCTAGAGCCATTGCTTTATGATTTCATGGGGATTAGGGTCTTCTATATGAAGTCTGTGACCTCTAAAACAAAAAAAGACATTTTCATTACTTCTTTCATGAAAAAAGACATTTTCATGATTTAGAAATTAGCTTAAAAAGAACAGTTACTGTCACTGTGCAGATCGGGTGGTAAAAGAGTCACATTATCTTAACTTTGAGCAAAAGTGATTGTGATCTACCTCACATCACCACTCCCTGATCCGAGAAAGAGGCGTTTACTTACTATGCAGGTCAGACAAGGTCAAGATGTGTACTTCTAGAGGGGGTGGGTCAACACTTTCCTACATAATATGGTGGAGGTAACTTGTTTTTCCAGAAAGTAAGTTACTCGCTTCTTACCCTCACAGGACCTCCATTATGCCAGCAAACAACCGCTCAAACATGCTCAAAGCTTTAGATAAACTATTTAATAATGTCCCAAAAAATATTTTCTTTAATATTTGAACATAGAATGTTTTTAGTAGTTTTATAAAATAAAATAAAAATAAATACAAAATAAAATGAAATAATAACAAGTATGAATGTGAGTGAACTGGTCATAGCAAATGGACACCATGCATATATGTGCAGAAAAAAGAAAACAATATTTGGATTATGTTGTTAAGCATTACATTTCCTTAGATGTTATAGTTTTTAGCTTCTCTAAAAGTTAGTCGGTAAGTTAGGATAAAATAATATGTATTTAAAGGGTGATATTAATTAATTAATTAGTCCTTTCTAACAGTCTGTTCAAAGGGTGCTTGAAGCAGCACCACGGTTAAAGAAAACTGTCTGTTTTTTCCATTTGGGAGTTTGTATATATTTGTATAGAGTCACTCTTTAATATAACTTCACATCTGCTTTAGATATGTTACTTGCCTTTTAGAGAAACCTGCATCTGTACTTTGAGTGACACCCTAATAACCATTTACAGTCAGTAGATAATACTTTTAAATTGTACTTTCCATGGTCACACCACAAATTACCCCCACGTAAAGAGAAAACATCCCAGTAAGTGTTTTTTTTTTCTACAAACAGGCAGCACTGAATGATTATACTGGATTTTCTAGCAGGAATGAACATGTCCTATATTTTAGGTTGGTTGATACAGAACTCTTCAGCTTTCTATAGCTTTTTTCTTAAACCTCCAACAGACCATTGGTCATATTAAGAGAAAACTAATCTAAATCAGAAATACACGTGTCTGTGGGCAAACATTGGAAGCAACATGTATTCAGACATAATTACATAATTATGCCTCTCCATGTTTTCCCAGAAAAACTTTCACTGGAACACTTTTTCTCCATTTTTTGACA